TATACAGGAAAAGAAACTACACACAATAAAAAAAATAAGATAGAAATTACGTCAAAAAATTACAAAATAAAATTCATTTAGCATACGAGATTGTAAAAAATATCAAAATAAGTGATAATATTTGTATGAATTTTGTTAACTATATTCGATAGATCGTAGATGTTAATATAAGTAACTTTACGACGGGATTTAAACCGACGATAGTTTGTCACTGTCAGTACAGTGCCATGCGTACATAAATTTCTATCGACGACGCGCACTAATCAGACAGCATACTTATCGCAGAAAAAGTAACGGTAAGAGAGCGACGTGATGAGAGAGAGACCAGGCGTGCCCGAGCTTATCGTTGTGCCGAAGAAAGACTTTCGCAACGTGCCGTTCTCACGACATAAATTAAAATCTGGCACGAGTCGGAGCTTACCTGCCTACCTACTGCTCAAGTTTTATGATCGCGAACGCCGCGCTATATACAACTCGACCGCCGTTGATTCTCGCGCCGATCCTAATCTCCGGCGAGCAGACATTATAGGAACATTTCGGTATCGTAATAGGATTATACACGGTATTAAGCCCGGGCATCGTAAGGACAGTGTCGCCTAAGCACTTCCTGTCTTGCTATTTCGCTGCTTCGCAGAACGATTACGTTTACGCGAATGATAGGACAAATTTATAATTTATTATTACATTATTATATTATAAACTTTGAATACTATTCATTTTACTTAATGGCTTATTCTAACAATTGATTTTAATAACTAATTGTAATTTCTATTATTTAACGATGTTAATCTAGACTCGTTCATCTTTTGTCCCAATAATACGGAGTTAACGTTGTCACAGTCGTCAAATTTTTAAAATTTCATTATTTTCTGCATGAAAACATTTATCTCTTTTACATTTTTGTGTTTTTAATCTTCTCTAATTTTACATTTTGAGGCCGCGCAATTAAAGTTTCGATATTATATAGAATTACGACCCGTACAAAGCTTTAATCCCGGTCGTATCTATCTAGCTCCGGATCGTGGAGGTCGTAATTACAACCCGCTGCGTTTCCTCGGGGCCGAGGAAAATATCTGGTTTCTCGAAATCCCCTG